TTGTGGCTGCCACTTTTGGTTCAACATGTCAGTTCATCGGGATTATACCACTGATACTAAGTATCAGTGAAGCAACAGCGTGCAATAGGAACGGAAAGGAAGTGAAAAGCGCAGGGCAGGTCGGGGCAAGAAGGTGAAGGTGACGGGTACGCTTGGACCAAGCCAAAGTACCGGAGACTTCTTCCGTCATAGGGGGCCTGCAAGGAGCCGGGGGCTTGCCTCGGGGGTGGGGCCGCGACTGGCTGTTAGTGGGCCATTTTCCCGCCATCAAAAGTCGCAAGTTCGCAAGACACGCTACGTCATTGACCATCACAGCTTCCCACCCAGCCTGCTCTGCTGCACACACAAGGGAAGCTGCAGCTGAAAGGACAGAGGTGAGGTGCTAACCCCAACCTGAGGTAATGTACCAAGTAGCTAAGTATTCATGGTGAAGCGAGCTAGCTGGCTAGAGCTGAAGGAGAGCTATGAGGCAATTGGAGGGGCTCGTTTCCCACCTCATCCATTTCATGGGATTGTCGGTTGGTTCCCTTTCCCCCCCTTTGCCCTGCTGGTCTGCTGGATGATCTGCATCCCTATGATTATATCCCTATCCCCCGAGACCTTTAACCTCCGCACATTTCGATCTTGCCTGCTTGATTCTCTCTCTGCTCAATTCTCTTTGCCTCTTTTCTTTCGTGTTTACCCAAGCACTAGGTAGGCAATTGACTTGGATCTTGACAGCGTAGTCTCATCTACGACTGCTCTATAATCTTCATCCACACCCAAGACAAACCACACCAGAGATTCAAGCATTGTTCATGGTAGCAAGATGAACTACGACGAACACACGGTGCCGACCGGCGGCCAACACTACAGCGGCCGGAACCGCATCCCAAACATCCACGAGTTTGTTGCCCAGCTCGACAAGGAGAAGCGCGAGCGCGACGCTGCCATTGAAGCCGAGGATAAGGAGCACGCGAGGATCGCCAAGGAAGCTGCCCGCCAGCAGCAACAGAACGGCAACACCACACAACAGCAACAACAACAAAATCTCCAAGACACAAAGGAGCATGTCCCCGAGAAATCAAAAGGTGCTCGCAAGAAGACCAAGACTGTGCGGGACCCCGTCACTGGCAAGGATGTCGAGATTGAGAACCCCAAGGAAAATTTCAAGGATGTAGTTGAAAACCCTCACGTGAGATCATCCCATAAATCCTTCGTTTCTCGCGGGCATCAAGTCCCCGCCCGCTCTAGAACCATTACTAACACGACAATTGACAGATATCCGTCCCCAACAAGAACCTCGGAAAGGACGCTACAGTCTCCACGTCCCCTAACCAGTCTGGCGAGGAGTACCGATGGGCCCAAGATGTCACGGCACCGCCCGACCCGGTCGAGCCCGGAAGCACCACAGACGTGCCCATCCACAGCGAGAAGACCAATGTAAACTTTTTCCACACCCCCAGCGTCAGCTACGAGCCCATGTTCGAGCACCTCGAGAGACGCGGCAACATTTTGTGCGCTGGTATCTTCTTTTCCATCGTCATCGTTGGCAAGTTCTTTGGTGGCTCGCTCTATGGCCTGCTTCCTCTCGGAGCTTTTGTTGCCTCTGGTGTCTTCCTGTGGATAAAGGACCTCATCACGCAGGGAAGAAACACCGAATGGTCTAGTGAGCAAGCACGTGGCGAAACAGCAACCGTCAACCTGGTCCCCGAATCCGTCGAGGTGCGTGATGCGAATTTCTGCCACAGTGATAACACGAAGCTAACAAATCTCAGTGGATGAACACCGCCGTCGGCATCATGTGGAACCTTATTAACCCCGAGATGTTTGCTGGCGTTGCCGATACTCTCGAGGATGTCATGGTTGCCTCAGTGCCCGGCGTCATCGAGAACGTGCGCGTTGCCGACATTTCGCAGGGAAGCAACCCGCTCCGTATTCTCAGCTTGCGCGCCCTTCCCGATAGCCACGTCAAGGACATCAAGGACGAGGCCCACAAGCAGAACCAGAAGAACACTGACCCCAACGAACTGGCTGCCATGGAGCAAGCTGGTGACTTTTATAACCTGGAGGCCTCAGTTGCTTACCACGCGAAGCCGTCTGGCTCTGACGTTTCGTCAAAGGCCCGCAACATGGGAATGCAGCTCGTCTTTTACCTCGGTGTTCGGGGTCTCTTTGGTGTACCCCTCCCAATTTGTGAGTGCACTAGAAGACTTGTATCAGTGGCATATTATCTAACATTTTGTAGGGGTTGAACTTCAGGGACTTGTCGCCACCGCCCGAATTAGGTTGCAGCTTACCCCTGAGCCGCCTTTCCTCAAGACCCTCACTTTTACTTTGATGGGCATCCCCAAGGTTCAGGCAGGTTGCACGCCAATGATTGAGAAGGGAGTCAACATCCTCAACTTGCCCCTCATCTCTAACTTTGTCAATTGGGCCATTGGCACCGCCGCTTCAATGTATGTTGCTCCCAAGAGCATGACTCTTGACCTGAGCAAGATGCTGCAAGGCGACGACATCAAGAAGGAGACGCTTGCGCTTGGACTTCTCTTCATCCGCATCCACAAGGCAACGGGCCTCAGCAAGCAAGACCGCCGAGGCAGTGAGGGTGGAGGCTCAGACCCCTACATCACCGTCGCCTGGAGCAAGTTCTCCAAGCCCCAGTTCTGCACCCGTGTCATCCAGGACGATCTCAACCCCGTCTTTGAAGAGAGCTGCGGTCTGCTAGTCACCGCTGACTTGATCAAGGCGGACGAGCAACTTTCCGTCGAACTTTGGGACAGCGATCGCTCATCTGCGGATGACGTCGTTGGTAAAGTCGAGTTGAGCATTCAGAAACTCATTCAGCACCCCGGCAAGATGTTCCCCCAGGTGTCCAAGCTTGCTGGTGTCAAGGCCGAGACCTCGATGCCTGGTGAACTGCACTGGGAGGTTGGTTTCTTTGGCAAGACTCAGTTCCGCAAGGCTCTTCGTACCGACGGTAAGGACGTCAACCTGCCTCCTGAACTGAGGGACAAGAAGGAGCTTCAGGACGAGAAGGGCACGATTGAAAATGATATGGAGGATGCTGTCGAGCACACTCCTCCGGACCCTCTCTGGCCCTCTGGTATTCTCAGCATCGTCGTCCATCAGATTGTTGGATTGGAGCTCGCCAATGTGAAGGGTTCCAACGGCAAGCGCAAGGGACGCGAGTACGAACCTGCCCGTCTCGATGCTGGCGAAGTCAAGGAGGAACAAGGCAGCAAGCTGCCCAGTTCATACTGCACGATTCTCGTCAACGATGAGCTGATCTACAAGACACGTACGAAGGCAGTTTCCTCGCAACCCATCTTCAACGCCGGTACCGAAAAGTTCATCCGTGATTGGAGGTCTGGCATCGTTACAATCACTGTCCGCGACTCTCGCAACAGACAACACGATCCCATTATTGGCGTTGTCCCTCTCAAGTTGTCCGATATCCTGCGATCCGGGAGTGAAGCCACAAGATGGTACCCTCTTGATGGCGGAGTTGGATACGGAAGAATCCGTATTTCCCTTCTCTTCAGGTCCGTTGAACTGCGGCTACCTCCTGCTCAGCTTGGCTGGGACGTGGGTACATTCGAGTTCACATCTCAGCAAATCATTGCTGCTGGCTACGGCAAATTGAAGACCAAGATCCGCCTTCGTACCGGTGGTAGCTCTGCTAGCATCAAGCGAGACGCTTGTAACAAATTGGAGGAGCAAGATGGCTACTCATGGAACATCAGTGGCGAGGACAAGCATGAGAAGATCCGTCTTCCTGTTCGTTACCGCTATAGATCCCCAGTCTTCTTCGAGTTTTACCCTCCTGGGAAGCGCCATGCCGACGCCTTTGCGTCATTGTGGCTCCAGGACTTCCCGGTTTGCGAGGAACGCGACTTTGATATTCCCATCTTCAACTGCGACAAGGGTCTGCGTCTGTCACAGAACTACATCAACCAGGACAACTACAAAGATATTCCCGACATGAAGATTGAAGAGATTGGTCGGCTCAGATTCAAGGGCCGCTTCTCCACTGGTACAGACGGTGATCACGTCAAGTTTGTCACTGACAACGATTCGCGCGAGACAATCGAGACCTGGGAAGCCTGTTTTGCGGAAGGAGTACGAGGCGAGGAGGTCCAAGCCGAGGTGCCCCCCGCAGTTCAGAAGCTGCATGACGAGTCTCTTACTCAAGGCCGCGATGTTCTAGCCCAGACTGACCCGAAGGAGAAAGAGAAGTGGCTCTCCAAGGACGGAACCGATTGGAGCACTGCCTTTGGCAAAGATCCCACACAGATGATAGATGGCGATAACGAGAATCAGGAAGACTTGAACTCGGAGGGACGCGATGATTTTGATACGGATTACGACGACGACGATAACAGCAGTGAGCCGGATCTCGGCCTCACAGACGCCAGCACCAAAGACACCAGGGCAAGCAGCAATGGCGCACGGCAATCAACAGACAGCAACGCGAGTGCGGCCCCCTCAGACGCATCTCAGAAAAGCAACGGCAACGGACCTGTCGCCGCTTACAAGGACTACAAGAGCAGGAGCAGAGACCTGCACCGTCAGCATCGGGGTCTGATGCAGTGGCGTCCTATGCGTAATGTGCAGTTCGCCAAGGATGAGGCCAAGTTTGCGATCCGTAAGATTACCAAGATGGGTGCTCTCAACGGTCGCAAGCCCGATGTCGAGACCGAAGTCTAAGCCTGTTCACTTTGTCGAGAGTAGAGAAATATTGAGATACGCAACAACGGCTGGGGTTATAGGAACAGGATACAGTCCGTTTTTTGACGGCCTTGGTAATGTTTATGAAGTACACCTACATGACACAAATTGCGATGAATGGGAGGGAGGCGTTTGTAGGTGTATTAGTAGTCAAAGCAGGCAAATAATAGTTTTGAACAGTTCTCGACCGTGGTTCCGTGCAAATCATGATTCTAGGTAAACGTTGTGGACATGTCTTTTCATCGGTGCGCCAAGCTATCCTGCGTCTATTGTGATCTATCTAACAGGGTCTATAGGTTTTCTTCTTTGTCACTCATATCTGTCTTCCCCTTTCCACGTCCACTGAACCCCCATCCAATCTGGTTCGCCATCTTGACATTGACCCCAAGCTCATCAGCATACGCATACACCAGACCAGGATTCTTCTGGAACCAACGGCCACACATGATCACATCCAACCCCTCCTGAAGGAACCCCTCCGCCATGATACCCGTACTAATCCCACCCACCGCCGACACAAGCATCCTCTCCCCGACAACCTTTTTGATCTCCTTTGCGAAACCGGCCTGGTACCCCGGCCCTCCCTTGATACTCGTCGCCTGCAGCGAATGAATCCCGCCGGAACTCACGTCCAGCAAATCGACGCCCCGCTCCGCGAGTAAAGGTGCCAATCGACACGAGTCGGCGAGCGTCCAGCTGTGAGGGACGAGGTCTGTTCTATCGTCGAACCAATCCGTCGCGCTGATGCGGACGAAGAGCGGCATGGAGTCTGGGATCGCGGCGCGGACGAGGTCGACGATCTCGAGGACTAGACGGGTGCGGTTTTCGAAAGAGCCGCTGCCGTAGATGTCGGTGCGGGCGTTGGAGATTGGGCTGAGGAATTGGTGGAGGAGGTAGCCATGCGCGGCGTGGATTTCGACGACGTCGAAGCCGGCGTGGACTGCGCGGAGGGCGGCGGCGACGAAGGCTTCTTTGATTGTTTTGATTTGGGACAGAGTCATTTCCTTGGGAAGTGGGTATGCCTCGTTGAAGCGGAGTGCGGAGGGGGCGTAGACTTCGTCCGGCCACCCGTGTGCTTCGCGGGGGGAGGTCGCGTTGGCGTGGATGAAGGGGGCGACGGTGCTGGCTTTGCGGCCGGCGTGGCTTAGTTGGATACCGATTTTTTGTCCCTGGGCGTGGGCGAAGTCGGTGATGCGTCGGAGGGGAGGGATCTGGGCGTCGGACCAGAGGCCTAGGTCTTGCGGGGTGATGCGGCCTTCCGGGAGGACGGCGGTGGATTCCATGAGGCAGAGGCCGGGGCCGCGTTGGAGGATGCCGCCTAGGTGGGTTAGGTGCCAGTCTGTTGCTAGGTTTCCTGCGGTGGGATCGGCGGAATATTGGCATAGGGGGGCGAGGAAGAGGCGGTTTTGGAGGGTGAGGGAGCGGATTTTGAGCGGGGTGAAGAGTTTTGGGAGGGGAGAGGAGGAAGTTGGGGACTGGAGGGCTGTTCCCGAGGGGGGAGATTGGGATGGGGTGTAGTAGGGTGCGTTCTTTGCTGCTGGGTTTTGGACGAGTTCGAGGGGGAGAGGGTCTGATGTTTTGGTGGCGTGAGAGTCCATCTTGAGAGCTGGGTTAGATGTTTGAAGATGCGGATGTAAGATGAGGCTTGATGGCGGGAGAGGGTAGCGAACTATTCGAATGGAAGTGAGAAGTTGGCAATTTTATGTTGGAAAGCAACTGTCATTCAACTTCAATTCTTCACCTTAAACTTGGCAGATTGTGTATTTTGGCAGTACCATGTACTATGTTGCCGACATCTTCTCGGTGCTCGTCGTTGGTCGCCGAACAGTCCGGCCCGTGTTGTGGGGCTTCGGCCGCTTGATCCGTGGTGTCAACGGGCCGGGGGACGATTCGGTGCGCGCCGGAGCCCCGTGAACCATCAACTTAGGGTTTTGGAGGTCTTTTCTTCGGGAACTCCTTCCGCTAGGTGGAATAATATGCACGCGGTAGCAGGTGTCAAAACTGCGGGAGAGCTTGGCTTAGCGGCTATGAGAGTCTCTTGAGGGGTAGTCGGCGCCGGGCATGCTTCGCCGTCGGCTAGATGGCTCGTCACGCCGAGGGCTCAAGTTGTCAGACTTGGACTCGAATATTTGATGTAAGAAGAATCAAGACTATTGAAAGGTACTTTTGGCGCGACATTAGGTCTTAAAACTTCTCCAGACAGGAAGGAAACAAGAGTCTGGTGAAAATTCCTATGCCTATTTGGCCACAGTCTTATAGATAGAATTATACCCACAAAGCGACTCCTCCTCCAGCGTCGCAAAGTCCCGCCCAGCAAATCTCTCCGGCTCAAGAGCCTTCAGCGTCTCCTGATTGACCTCCTCCCCATTAAGAAGCCCAGTCAAAAACTTGGCCGTCCCAGCAGCGTGCGTAACCCACACCGCAACAGCCATGTGCAACCCAGGCACCGACCTCACCGCGCCAGCAAGCGGCATATTATCAGGCGTCATGGAAAAGATCCCATTGAAGCTCCTGCTCTTGCTCTGACTCTCACCCACACTCCCATTCTCCTCAAATTCCGCCGCAGTCGCAGGAGGTAGCAATTTTCTAGCGGCCTCGAGCGTCTGCCGGAAATCAGGGATCCAGACCCCAATCGCGGTCCCGTCTTCTGCGTTGGGCGCGCAGCCCACGGGCGGGTGGTCGTAGCTTCCGATGCCGTAGCGGGTGCCGTGGTCTCTGGCGTAGACGTGGTGCTCCGGCCAGCGCACGAACGGCAGCGGGTTTTCGCGAGGAGGCGGCAGGGGGTTGCTTTGGGTGCGGGCGTGCATGTAGGGGTGTCCGACGGGGATGACGGGGACGGGGAAGGGGAGGTCGCGGCAGAGGTCGCGGGCCCAGATGCCCGTTGTGAGGATGACTTTGTCGGCGTCGAGTTGCTGTACGGAGCCGAGGTTGAGGACCTGAACGCCCTTGATGCGGCCGTCTGATGTGAAGAGGAGCTTGTCGACAGAGCTTTGTAGGAAGCTGACGCCTGCTTTCTTTGCAGAGTCTTGGTAGAATGAGGTGATTCTGCATGCGTCGGCGGTTCCGTCGGTAGGGAATAAGACTGCAGCCCCGGCCCCCGGAGACCCTTCTTCTCTGACGAGTTCCGGGGCGAGTGTATGTGCTTCTTCCAGGCTCAGCATCTCAGCGGCTAGGCCGTGCTGCGCGGCAGCTGCGCATCGCGTCTTGAGGCGCTCGCAGCCCGCGGGCTGGAAGGCGATTTCCAGGCCGCCGACGGTGTCGAAGCCGCCGGGGATCTTGGTGTATTCTGATACGGAGTCGATGGCTAGCTTGGTGAGGACTGGAGAGTCATTGAACTGGCCGACGAAGCCGGGCGCGTGGCCTGTTGAGCCGAGGAGGGGGCCGAAGGAGCGGTCGATGATGGTGATTGTTCGCGGGGTTGTTGGTGAGGAGGATGAGAGGAAGTGGGCTAGGGCGGAGCCGACGATGCCTGCTCCGACTATGATGATAGTTTCGTGAGTTTCGGACATTCTGTTTGAGGATCGGGTACTGGGTTGGATGTGTTTGTGAGAGATATTGTGTCACATTAAGAAGAGTTGGGAAGAATGATGAGATTATATACTTTTGGACTCGAATTGAGTACATGCCATATTGACATATCGTTTTCGCAGTATTCATCGGTCTTGCCTTTACATGTCTCCCATTCATTCGGGGACCAAGACTCAAGACTACCGATTTTGGACAAGGGCGCCGGACTTGGCCAATCACATGTAGAGTAGCTCGCTCACTTACACCACGAAGCTGAGACCCGCAAGCTGTCGACACGCCTTTGGATGTGGGATTCGGACAATGTGGTCTAGCGAGGTGGGGCCATCTACACGCTACAAACAAGCCATCCAGAGCAGCCTCCTAAGTAGGTAAGAAGTCAAGGAAAGGTAATTCAAGAACTGATCCACGAGGTGTGAAGAAACAGAAAGTATCTAGGTAATGTTATCACGACAACTCAACAGGCCGGGTGCCTTCCACTTCCGCAACCCTCGTATACGCCGAAAGCTCAACAGGAGGCGGCGTGGCAGCGCCGACTTCCCTCATCTCTGTCCCGTGGCCGGGTAACTCTTGTTTCGCATCGTACCCGAAACCTTTCTGCCCATATCCTTCATTGCCTGTATTGCCCTCACTCTGAGAAGCGATGGCGGCCGCGGCCCTCTTTTGTTTCCTCTTCCGGAGGCAAATAAACAATCCAGCACCGAGCAGCAAAAGAACTAACGCAACCGCTCCCACCGCAATCCCCGCTACGGCCCCAGTCGAAAGACCTGCCCCTCCAGCAACGCCAGAGGCCTGAGAGGAAGGAACACGGCCGTACAGCGGAAAGACGGGATGTTTAACAGAGAGGGGTCCCCCGGCAGCACTCGGGAGACCGGTGAGGGAGATTTTCCTCCACGAGCTCCAGAGCGTCGACTCCCTCCCGCCGCTCGTCGCGATATTGTTGATCCAGATTTCCGTGTTCATGCTCAGGAAACTGACGCAGTCCCGGTAGGGTGTCCCGCCCGGCGTGGGCACGAGGCAGGTGTACGAGCTCGGGCAGCACCACGTCTGGGTATACGTCTGCGCGCTCTCGAGAGTTAGAGTTGTCTCGCACGCCGTTGTCCAGCCGGAGATGCAGGCTGTGCCTGGGTAGGCTACGCTTGCGACGTCGCCTATTTTCCAAAGGGAAAATGTGTCAGCCATTCCTTTGGCGCTTTTCAAAAGTCAGTATAGGATAGTCCTTCTCACTGAACGTATTCCCGGATGGTCGCCAGATTGCGGCGTAACTCTCGGGAAAGCATTGCGTTGGTAGGCTGGCCGTGGTCTCGGCCACGACCTGGTCCCGCAAGCACTCGACGTCCCCTGTAAGATCTTCCGTCTTGCCTACGAGACACCGAATATCGACGGGGGAGCAGAGGTCGGTGGGTGGTGTGAAGGGGGTTGTCTGCGGTGCCATGGAGAGGATCTTGGTCTGCTGGAAGCCGCCTGGTGTGAAGGTTAGTGTTATGAGCAGAGGCTCGTAAGTCGTTTTTGAGGCCATCGCGAGGTGTTATGTGCTTAATGTTTGCTCGCTCGATCGTGAAGTGTTGTGCTCTATGTTTTTGTCTTAGACGCACGGAGGAGGGTTTAAGGAACACAGAGGGTTCCAAAACTTTTTGCTTGATTGTGGGTGCGAGAGAGTATTGGTTTCTTAATGTATGCGACCTTGCTAGCGGCCCAGTGTCCTCGTGGCGAAAAAGTTTCCCATCACACAAGGCTTACTCTGTTCTCTGTTTGGAGATGTTCGTCCAGGTTTTGCCTGCGCATATTGCTCAGCCTGCTTACGGCCAAGGACCATGGTTATCTAGTTGCATATGTCGTGTTTCCATCACGATAGGCCGGGCCTTTTAGAATGTGGGACAAACCAGTCGGACATTATCACGCTCTATCGTGATCAAAGTAATCATGACAGTCTCAATGTAGGACTTCAGCCATGTAACTTGAAGCACATCAAGATCGTGCACCTGCAAGATATGCGCCAACGCTAAAAAACTAGATACAATCAAGTCTAGATTGATCAAAGGTGCTTCGCTGAATCTAGGGCAAATAGGATAGCATTTGCTATGAGACTGACTCTGAGCTGTCATATTCTTGTTGTGCTCTACCATAGAATGTCTACCTCCATATTAGAACAGAGAAAATCCTTCAACGGGTCAGGAGGCGCCGGATCATTCGCCAGACTTCTCTGGAACTCAGTCCTCAACTTTGTCATTGGCTGTAGCACCCAGGTGTTGAACGACAAGATATCCGATTCCTCTTTCGGGTCCCTGACGGTATTGAATAAGTAAGGCGACTCGAGGCGACCCGACGACTGGTTAACTTTGGGTTCCCACACAAGATGCAGCTTCCAGTCTTTCCACTTAATCGCTCGCAGCTCCTCCTTGATGTAAAACAAAAATCCCAGCCTCTCGGACTTGACGTTGGCCGGGTTCTTGAAGAAGATTGTCTGATCGATGCCGTCAATGGGGCGGTCGTCTGGAATCCCAGACTTGGTGATGGACAAAATGGTGGTGAAAATGTCCGTCACGTGAACGATCTCGTTGGACGTCACGCCTTCCGGAACGTGACCCGGCCACCGTATAATGAAGGGCACTCGCAGACTACCTTCCATGGCAGTGTGATATGTTCCCGACCACGGCCCCGCCGTGCCCCTGTACGGCTCTCTGAATTCGGGACCGTTGTCAGAGGCAAAGATGACGACTGTGTTTTCCCGAATTCCGAGGGCGTTGATGTGGTCCAGGAGTTGGCCTACGCGGTGATCCATCTCGGCCATGGAGTCGGCAAAGTCGCCTTGCTTGGTGGTCCCAGCAAAGTCTTTGTGTGGCAGCGTCGGGAAGTGAAGGTGGACGAGAGGGTGATAGAGGAAGAATGGGCGTTCCGCCGCAACTTGACGGGACAGCCAGTCTTTGGACTTTTCTACTAGCATCTCGTCGATGAGTCTTCTAGCTTCCAAGTCGTAGACGCGCACATTCTCCGACTTTTGCGCGGCAACTCCCTTCATGATATATGGCAATTCCGCCACCTCGGGAGTATACCCAATCGCAGATGTAAATTGCGTCTCATCCGTCGTCCTTGGGATCCCAAACCACTCGTCAAAGCCTCGGTCTGAAGGGTACCGGCCCGGAATATCTCCCAAATGCCATTTCCCGTGGTGCGCAGTAGCATAGTCGTTCTCCTTGAGACACTCAGCCAGCGTCCTCTCCCACGGAGTCAGTCCCTGCGGGAACCCCGCAGGAACGGATTGTCGGCAGCCGGTCCGGATCGGATGCCGGCCCGTCATCAGCGCGGAGCGGGTTGGCACGCAGTCGCTCTCCACGTTGAAGTTGTGCAGCAGAAGACCTTGCGTTGCGAGCTTGTCGATCCGGGGCGTTGCGGCGCCGCGGAGGGCGCCCCCGCCGTAACAGCCCAGTTCACCCCAGCCGAGGTTGTCGGCTAGGATCAGGACAACGTTTGGACGGTTTGGGTCTCGAGACATGGTGTACGTGAAAGATAAACTAAAACTTAAGAAAATAATGATAAAATAATAATAAAAAATTTAACGATTCAAGAGAAAAGGGGTTGCCGGCAGATAAGATTCTTGAGGAAGGTATAGAGGTTGAACCCTACGTTCGTCTGATTCGCGAGGTGCGTACTATCACGCCATAGACGGAGTTGACCTCCGATTGCAACTTCATGCGGCAACAACCTTCTCAGACGTCAACGACGACCCTTAATTGTATCGACTGTTACGCAACATTCCTAAATGCTGTGTCTTATCGCGATGGGCATGTCCAAGGTTTATTTGACTCGCTTCATATTACGAGACTTACAGAGAGACAAATATGAGTTTGATGCGACGAATAGGAAGGGATCGTATCAGTATTCTCTCGGGTCGCTCTACTAGTCTAAATCTATTGTTTTATTCATTTTCTTTTCATTTTCTTGTTTGTATAATCTAACCCCAACATAGTCTATCGTAGGGGCAGCATACCATCTTTTCATGTCCCATGCTGCTGCTAGGCAATCTGCAGCTCTTAGATGTTGGTACTGAAAGAGGTATACTCCTCTAAAGTCAGCACGTAATTGAAAATGTTGAGCAAGTAGTGGAACCTACTTAAACGCAAACGCAGTTGTATCTAGGGTCAAGCTTGAGACCGCAAACGCAACCGCCAACTCCTCCCAAGATGTTTGTGCACCGATCGCCTGCCTTTGGGCACTGCTGCCAGTTTTGGCGCTTGACGGCGGATTGGTCTGATGCGGGTGCGGCTGAGGCCAATCCGGCAATGATGGCCACGGCTCCGAAAAGAGTTGAGAACTGCATTGCGGTGTGAGTTGAAAGTGGTTTTATGAGAGAATAGTTAGAGATGAGATTATGCCTGGATTTTTGGACTGAGTTCTATCAAATAAGTACAGTACCATACGAGTGCAGCACCGACGCTTTATAGAGACACCATCCTACCATCGGTGTCCTCGGAATACAATGATACGAATGTCTCGGGGACTCAAGGTGCAGGGTCATTGTAGCATCAGGAAGACCACAAATGCCAGGCAGATAATTGCCGGACTGACCCTCGAGGTAAGTTCAGCTACGAACTGCGACTCATTCAAACGTGAGATGTGGATAGACATTCGAGAAATGTTTAATTAACTTTAGTCTACGTTGACAAAAGATGGGTCCGGCTTCCCAATCCCGAACAGTGACATATGCTATGATATAAGACTTGTCAAGGGGCTGAGCTTCTCAGTTACGCTTTCATGTAAACCGACTTAACGTCTAGATACTTAGCTTGGTAAACGAAAGCTCGTCAGTACGTGAGATATTGTGAGTATAACCTTGGTTAGCCTAACCGCATCGTATGTCACTTGTGATATGAAACCTATCATGACTATGGACGCCGATAATGTACGAGGTTGAAGAGAATGGATCACTTGATTAAGTTTGCAAACGTAATTACTGAACTGACCGGCGGGATTCGGAGTAGCCGTGATGGAGATATGAAATGCCGGTGGGAGGATAGCTGGGAACCCAGAACGGGGATGGAGAGCAATTCTTGTCGTGTAAATCAGGCTTCGCCGCTTACATACTTTTTACATTAAGCCATGCCCGAGTATTCTCTCCTGTCTACAGCCTTGGAGCAAGAAACAACGAGAGGTTTTCACCATGATTGCAGTCTAGTTTGTGGGCCCGCAGCAAATACTTCGAGAGGATGAGAGTGTAAAAATACCTAGTGACTGTTCACAGTATCTATAAAGGCCGACGGAATCCCTACTAACTGGGGGACGCCTAGGTGGCTGGTACGAACTTCCGCAATAGTCCCACCTTATTGTGCGTGCGTGAGTATGTGTCAGTTGTGTAGCTTATTTCAAGCAGTCTCTAATGAAGAGAGTACTAATTATACCAAACACGTAATACAGGGTATTGCAGACATGAGAAACGAGGTACTCATGGTCCATGAAAACTGAAAACGACATTCCTGAGCTCTGCAAACCTGCTTACGGCGATTGTGGGGGATTTCAACGTTGGAATCCACCACCGTTAGAGGACCGTGCGAGATGTACAATCTTCTGGTCAAAGCTGTCTTTCTGACACAGTACGTACCCTTGTTAAGCGAGTCTTATCGGGGGCGGGGTGGTTCGATAAGGATTTTTTTGCGCCAGGAAAAATTTGGGACACTGAGAGGACGGGATCCTCGACCACACCGGCTTTGACTTGCATCGTCTCTTCCACAGTTGGTCCCCGACGGAATTGGAATACGACAAGCACAATGTCGACTCCAACTCTTGCCGAGAAGCTGGACAAGATCCGCTCCCCGGGTCTTCAAAGTCAAAAGAGGGTAAGCTGTACCGAATGTTCTCAGTTTTGCCGTTATCCTTACTAACATGGTTCAAGACTGCCGTAGTCCTCGAGGCGGTCGACACAACACTGAAGGAGCAAAACGCTCAGCCCACACCGACTGGCTACTTCGCCGCCCTTCTCGGCCTCCTCACCCAAGCTGTAGAGAGCGGCAATATCAGCTCCGACACGACGACCTCCGTGGTTTACCTCCTCGATATCGTCACCCCGTTTGCGCCTCAACCTATCCTTCGCGCCAAGTTCACCCAGATCCTCACCTCGCTCGCACCCGTTCTCCTGCAACAAGATGCCGAAGCCCTCCTCCTCCGCTCGTCCATCGGATGCCTCGAGTCTCTTCTTCTCGCACAAGATGCCGGTGCTTGGGAGCTGGGCGTGACCCAGATCGGCCCCCGCAGAGCCGTCGCCGGTCTGCTCAACCTCGCTCTCGAGCAGCGCCCGAAAATCCGCAAGAGGGCACAGGAAGCGCTTCGAAAAGTCCTGAAGAATCCGCCCCCGAGCCCCTCACTCGACCATCCGGCTGCGGACATGTGCGCCCACACCGCTCTTGCTAACCTCGAGGATATTGCTGGAAAGGCCGCGGCGGCAAAGAAGCAGAAGGGAGCCGAGTCTGCCCACGATCCCGCTCTGATCCACGCTCTCCAGCTCATCAAGACTATTGCCTCTGCGAGTGGCGGCTGGCCCAGCAAGAAGATCGAGTCTCTGTGCGACCTCCTCCTCGGAATCTCAAGATCCGGCAACGAGTACATGACGATGGCGACTTTTGAGATTTTCGAAATGATTTTCGAGGGCATGGCCGACGACGTCGCTTCGTCCAAGCTCCCACGACTGATGGAGATTATTTCGGAGCTGCGCCCTGCTGCAAACGACACGCAACTTATTCCGCCTTGGCTGGCAATCCTCTCGAGAGGCTACGATGTCTCTGCACAACTCGACTCTGAGGATGTTTTCCAGAACCTGCCCGAGATTTTCTCAATGGTCGCCCAGTACCTCGAGTCCCCCGCACACAACATCCGGATTTCCGCTTCCGAGTGCTTGGTCTCATTCATGGCGAACTGTGTTCCGCAGTCGGTCATTCTGGAGCCATCAGTCTATGACGAGAAGACTTTGGAAAAGATTGCCAAGATTGCCGAGTCTCTGCTCAGCCTCAAGTACCAACAAGCCTGGATGGAGAGTTTCAACGTCTTTGGAGCCATGTTCGACTCCTTGAGATGGCGGGCAAACCCCATGATGCTCAACATCACCAAGGCTGTCGGAGAACTCCGTGGCAGCGACTCTTTCCAAGGCAAGAAGGAGGCCGACGAAGTCATTGGCAAGGCCATCCGCGCCATGGGCCCCGAGGCTGTCCTGTCCATCCTGCCCCTGAACATTGCGAAGCCCGCCAAGGGTCAACAGGGCCGCGCCTGGATGTTCCCCATCCTCCGTGACTACCTCAGCAACACCAACCTCGCGCACTTCCGTCAAGAGATGGTCCCTCTCAGTGAGCTCATGTTCCAGAAGGTGCTTGATCACGGCAAGGCCGAGAAGACTTTGGAAGTCAAGATCTTCGAGACCCTTGTACAGCAAATTTGGGCCACCTTGCCCGGCTACTGCGATCTCCCGCTTGATGTTACCGAGGCGTTCGATCAGTCATTCGCCGAGCTCCTGGCAAACATCCTGTACAAGCAGGTCGAGTTGCGTCTGGAGGTCTGCCGTGCGCTCAAGGTTCTCATCGAATCCAACCAGGCCATTGCGACCATTGAGGATGATGATGAGGAAGATCTCGTTCTTCAAAGCCGCATCTCCAGGGCTACGGCGAAGAAGAACCTCGAGCACTTGGGCAGCTTTGCCGGAAACATGCTCGCTGTTCTCTTCAACGTCTACACCCAGACCCTCCCTCAGTCAAGAGGACCTATCCTCCTCACTATCAATGCTTTCCTCAGCGTCACCCCCAAGCAGGAGCTCATCGATACCTTCGACCGGGTCAGCAAGATGCTCGCAGCGGAACTGCAGCAGACTGCCGACCAGGAGAAGCCCAAACAACAGCCCAAGCAGAACGCTATGCCTTCAACTAGCAACACCCTGATGGATCTGATCATCTGCATTGCGCTCTACCTGCCACGCGAAAGCTACACGGCTTTGTTCGAAATTGCCAATGTCATTATTTTCAGGGACAACGAACCTCAGTTGCAGAAGAAGGCTTACAAGCTGGTACCCCGCCTTACCGAGTCAGAAATCGGCAAGCAGGCTCTCGCCGCACGCAATGACGAGTTGCAGCAGATGTTCCTGACGAGCGCCGAAAAGGTTTCCGCTCCCGCCCGCAGAGAACGCCTCGCCGCCCTCTCTGCGCTGCTTCCTTTCATCCCCGATACCTCCCTCTACTTCATCCCCTCCATCCTCAGTGAAGTCGTTATTTGCTGCAAGGAGAACAACGAGCGCGCCAGAGAGGCTGCGTACGACCTCCTTGTGCAGATCGGTCACCGCATGGAGTCTGCCAACGACGCCCCTATCGATAATAGCAAGATTCCTCATATGCCCGCAGACGCACCTGCCGGTAAAGCCAACATTGAGGAGTTCCTCACTATGGTTAGCGCCGGTCTTGTCGGCAGCACCCCTCACATGATCTCAGCATCCATCACCGCCCTCAGCCGCGTACTGTACGAGTTCAGGAGGTCCGTCAGCACTCAGACCTTGGCCGACCTCGTGCAGACCATGGACCTCTTCCTGACCTCCAACAACCGCGAGATCGTCAAGAGCGTCCTGGGCTTCGTCAAGATCTGCGTCGTCAGTCTCCCCTCGGAACTCGTCATCCCCCGCCTGTCCTCCATGGTCCCCAACCTCATTATTTGGAGCCACGAGCACAAGGGCCACTTCAAGAGCAAGGTCAGGCACATCCTGGAGCGCATGGTCCGCAAGTTCGGCTTCGACCTCGTCAACCAGAACTGCCCAGAGAGCGACAGGAAGCTCATTGTCAACATCCGCAAGACCAAGGACCGCGCCAAAAAGAAGAAGGACGCGGCCAAGGCCGCCGGCGAGGAGAGCGATGAGGAGGACGGTCGCCAGGGACGCAAGTTTGACAACGAGCTCGACCAGGCTCTCTACAGTAGCGAGTCGGACGGCTCCAACGACGAGTCCGACGATGACGACGAGGGCGGCGCCGCGGCCGCTGGCGCCAAGGGCAAGCGCGGCAACAGGAAGGGCGGTAACACGTACATTGTCGAAGACGAGGACGAGCCGCTCGATCTGCTCGACCGCAATGCCCTCGCCAACATCTCATCCACCAAGCCCGTCAGGATGCGCAAGCCGGGCCGGACCAAGGCCAAGACCGATCTGGACGGCAAGCTGATCCTCGGCAAGGATGACGACGAGGCGATGGAAGTCGATGGCGTCGAGAACGACGGCTCGGGCGTCAACGCCTACGTCGCCGCGCTCAAGGGCAAGGACGCCGGCAAGAGAGGTCTCCGCGGTAAGCTCAAGTTCAGCAACAAGCGCGGCCAGGACGACGAGGAGATGGAGGACATGGACGAGGGTGACGCCGCTGCCGTCAAGGCTCAGGTCGACAAGAGCCGCGGCGGTGGTAGGCCGCCCTTCCGTGGCGGACGGGGTGGCCAGGACCGCGGTGGACGTGGAGGGCGTGGTGGACGCGGCGGTGGTGGTGATCGTGGTGGTCGCGGTGGCAAGGGTGGTATTGCTGCCGGCCGCAAGGGTCTCGGCGAGGATAGGAGACGGTCAGGTGGTCCGTCGGGCGGAGGTGTCAACAAGGGCAGAGGCGGCCGTGGACGGAGATGAGCTCGTTTGCGGAACGATCTGGAGGGGAAGAGGGAGAGCAGGGGGTTTCTTTGAAGATTTAAAAGTGTGATTATACCCATTCAATGAGGTTAAAAGCGACCCCGAGTTGAAAAGGGAAAAAGAGGGTCTCTCAAACATTGTCATGTCGGCGTCTTGTCGGGTACGGTAAATAGAGAAAAAAGAAATTGACGTTTACATCAGAGCGACTAAAAGTACATATTCTCATGCAAAATGGCGTCGGTCAAACTGTCATCTGTCTAAGGCACCTTTGATAGCGTCATGATGGTTTTCTTGTTTTTGACTACGTCTGTCTCTGTTTGGACTCGGCCTTGCTTTCAAACCCAGACCAGGGGCTTTTCCCCAATCGTTAAATGACATTGCACTCGAGGCCCTTTCTCTCTCTCACTTTGCTTGCAAAAAAAGCACACATAGGAAAAAAACGTAATGAGGTTCCCAATGGGAGCGATCAAAGTACAGTCGTGGTAGAATCCTTATACAACCCAAAACTCCGGGCCCCGCACTCCTGACGGGGTTTATTGTAACTGCTGCTGCTGCTGCCGCATGCCTTTATCTGAACTTGCTGTAAATGACGGCGATAATGAGAAGAACCAGGATGGTGATGATGGAAATCGTAATCACCCGGTTGGTAGCCATCCTTTGAGTATGTTAGCCCGGACCTATCACCTTGTAGCCTTAAACCAAGGGGCAATAAGGACGAATATTTACCTACGTGCCATCCCCCGCAACGTCTTGACGCTACGGTCCACATATCCCTCGCTCTCGAGAAGGCGCGATTGGGTGTGCAGGATGGTTTCGCGCTGGGTATGCAAGTCGCCGAGAATACCGGCCCCGATGCCCTCCGTCTCGTTGGCAAGAGCCTGGCTCGCCTTGAGCCGCTGCGTGGAGCGGTCGAGGCGGTCTGTACCGGAGAGCAGCTGCTGGCGCTGCTCGAGCTGGACGTCCTGGCCGCTGCCCGAGGGGTTGTCGGTGTAGCGCGCGCCGAACAAGGCGGCGCGGTCGTCGGCGAGGGAGCGCAGCTTGCGCTTGTGGCCGTCGATATCGGACTCGTGGTTGCGGAAGCGGGCGTTGATCTTGGAGCGGAGGGTGGTGGGGATGTTTGCCTTTTCGAGGCGCATCTGGGCGAGGAGCTCGTCGGCCTCCTCGAGGGCGCGCTCGGCGGAGGAGAGGGCGGCTTTGCGGGGCTCGCCTGAGAGTTCGGGGATCTGGTCGAGTTTCTGGACGAGGTCGGCTTGGACGAGCTTCAGCTCTGCTTCGTAGTCGCCGAAGCGCTCGGAGCCGGGCTCGGTTTCGAGTGGGTTGGACATGGTGGCGGCGGATTGGGGAGGTGGAAGGGTCGTTGGTCGGGTGGTTTTAGAAAGTCGGCGGGAGATGTGGTGGTGACCTTTCGCCTTCGAGAGGACGATAAAGGGGATGGAGTGAGAGGATGGAGAGAGAGGCCTCCTTGTCGAGAAGGTTGTAGGCGAGCTGTGATCGTTTGGCTTCGTTGGGTATCACAAGATTGATGGTCGTCACTGCGGGTTCGTCGGGGTGGTAGTTGGATCAGTGCCGAAAACGGTCAAGGGCGAGTGGATTGTTGGTCTTGATGAATGTACTTGGTCGCATGGAGTACGGAGGTGTATGCGTAAGTCAGGACCGGGCTTGGCGACATCATTCCTCCCGAGTGGCTGGTGCACCAATCGGATGTAACGAGACGCTAGGCTCCAGCCACTGGGCCTTCAGTGGACACACGATCATTGAGGTGCCTTACCTCAGCAAAGGTGCTGCAGCAGAATAGCCAGTCCGATGAAGAGACACGTGATATATATGGCCCAAGCGCCCGCCTTCCCCGTCCCCCACCCGCAGGCTGGTCTTTTAATGAGAATTCGGCCGGCGCAAAACTTCGTTTCTCTCTTCTTCTTTTTCTTCTTCAAAGTTGAAACCCCCGGCTCTAGAAGAAACCGGCTCCGCGTCGCCAGTCTGGAAATGCATTTATGTGTCTCTCGCACTTGGACGTGGAGTTGAACTTAAGCCGGGTAGACTGATGGCAGTTGAAAAACTGTCACGGCGCTTTTAAGAATTGGGGACTCGTACTACCGTTTTCCGATCCCGTTGAGTGCTCGACATACTTTCGTCGTCTACCCTTGGCCTTGTGATATCTCGACACTATCGAAATGGCCGACTTGGCTCTGGCTGTACGCTTTTGGCCTGCTTTAAATCTATGCGCACTGCCAATTCTGAGTACAATTGGAAGCAGGTACTGTACCTATCTGCACAGAGCGCCGTATCAAAAACCTCGTATGTCAGATGCCATGAGGCTCAAGGATATCCATAATCCACATGAAGGATAACTGGACGATAAAACAACAACTACGCCTTTGTCTGCGTCTTGCCCAGAAATGTGCTCAAGTGGCGCGTCAGCAGATGACTGCCTGGAGATGGCCCATGAGGCAGCTCGCAATATGTTGAATCAAGGTGCTTGAAAGGCAAGATGAATCGGATTTCAGCTGCTGCGTACGTTAAGGCTTGGTGCCTGCCGGTTATAGCAGCCCAACGCGTCTCAAGCCCAGGCACATTAGCAATGTAATCTTGCCTGAACCACGAAGACGTACTTCACCGCGCGTCGCAGCCTCCCAGGTGACTTTGAATGCGTGCTCACGTGAGCAACGCGGCCCGTTCCTCGACGTGACTCTGTGAAGTGATTGGGATATCTGCCTGGCACAGAGCGTGTTACCATGCCCTCGCAGCTGAATGAATTTCAGGCGCATTTATAGAAGAAGTTGAAGCTGTACAGGAAGACATCTCTAAAAGGGTAAAATCTACGAGATCTCTGCGCGCAAGTCCTTACCGCGCAACGCTCGTGGGATGTGAAAGGAAGTTTCTTCACGTGCAATACTTTTTCATCGAAAAGCGGCAAAATCGCAAGATTTTGGGCGGTGACCAGCCATTTGTCGAAAATTTCAGCAGTCGTCGCCCACCGCAGGCAGCAAAACCCAAGAAAAACCAACTTCAACCGCCCCTGGCCCGTGCGCCCAAACCGGTCGTTGGAGAAATCTATATAAGGGCGACCTTACACCGCGTATCTTAGACTTTTCTTCTTCTTTTTTCTTCATGTCGACAATACTTCAGAGAATCATTTCTATAGTATTCGACCTACTCTTGGTTCCCTAAAGGAGCTACAGATCCCACCCTGGTTGATGATTGATATCCTCGACACCCTAGAGTGAAGAACTCTGGTTGCTCTCGCACCCTCCGCAAGGAGGGCGGTTTCCTGCAAAGGTCTCTGTATAGAGAGCGGTGATGATCTCGTCCCTGATTGTGGTCTTGCCCTTGGGCGCACGGTCAGGGTGGGTGTCGATGGACGTCTGACAGGCCTTTTTTCTCTTTTTCATTGCTTGCTGGAGCTGGTCTCTGGCAGTGAGGACGAAGCTTCCCCCCTCTCGTGATCTTTAGTAGAAATTTCTGCCACCCGGCGCCATCGCAAAGTTGAATTCTGCTGAACGTACTTATCCGTATCAAATCCAATAGTGACGCTGAAACGCATTAAAAAGAAACCACGCGTAGAAATGATCGCTTCCGCTGGCCAAACTGCCATAAAGATTCAAATCAGCTTTTGATCGCGAGAATGATGGAACGCCTCTATCGCGGCCTTTTGTGGTGTTTTTTCCGCAAAATGATTGCACTGATGAACGGCAAGTTGAAAGCTACCTACCTTGGATCTCAGGAAGGGCCTTCTCGTCTGTTGTCTCCAGACCTCACTTTCCACGAGCACGCGTTCATCCAAATGAAGCGTCTAAACCATCAAATTCCGAGCGTTGAATCTGCATATGTCGTCTCGAATCTTCAGCCTCTTTTCGGGGGGGAAAAAAAGTCTAGCCAGCCACTTGTGGCGTCTTGGATCGTGAACCATCGAGTGATAGTTAAAGTCCGGCAAGACAAGGGGGGCTGGGGAAAGAGCTGGGGACGCAGTGCGCAGTAGGATCAGGTGCAGGGGTGTCCCAATGCAAGCGTCATTGCGCATGGGAACTCCGGCAAGAGCTGAGTTTCGTTTCATCGCATCGTGATCAGCCGGCCGAACACACCTGCCGACGTCTTTCCGTGCCCGTCTCACCTTTTCTTTCCCTTCCTTCTTGTCACCGAATTTTGCACCAGAAACTTATCCCAAGGTTCGGAAGGGGTCCTTCCTGCTCAAACTCAAGCTCCAGCTCCAGACCTGATACCTTACCTTCTGCGCCTCGCTTTATCTCTTTGCAGCCCTTGCTACCGACAGCCACGTGTCGATCATTGCTTGCTCCAGAGCTGAGCTCCCTCTCTCAAGAGACCCCACCAGACTCTCATCACATCCTCAGAAACAGAGACCAGAGGTCAAGATGCCGCCAGGTCAGCCGCTGTACGTTTTGTTTCTCCGCTTGTCTCACTGAGCTCTGGTTTCTTTCGCTCTCGGCCTACACACCGCATTCATCCCTACACCCACATACCTCGTATGTTACGCACACACAGCTGCTGCTGCCACTACCACAGCCCCAAAGACCGCTACCTGTTTGAATCCGTTCCATCCCTTCAGCTGCATGAGTTGCAGCACTAGTAAGCGCACTGGTCCGGAGCCCAGCCCAGCCAAGTGGTGGTGGTGGTGGTGCTACAGACGCAGATGTACCCTACTTGCGTACCAAGGTCCAATGTTGCCTCCGCCAACTTGAGACTTTTGTGCTCCCCTCCCCGAACCTGGGGCGGGGTGTCAGTCACAGAGACAAGGTGTGAGTTTGGCTTACTGGAAGCATGTGCGAACCATTGTTCTCTTTCCCCAAATCGTCGTCCGTGGCTTGCGTCTGAGAATCCCCCTCTCTTGCCTGCCGTCATTCCGTACAGAGTAGAGAGCTGTTATCGGCCTCCCTGATTCTTCTTGCCGCATCTTTATATGCCACTGTAGCATTGCCAACCTGCGCCCTCGCGCGACAGACGTCCAGTGGCTTTGTTCAGAAATATCCAGAAACCTCACGTTTCCC